AGGGAAAAGGGCGGCCTACAAATGTTAATAAAATCAAAATCAAAAAAATCAAATCCAGAGCCGCAGTTTGCTGAGCCCTGGACTAGACGACCTACAAGGTCTCTTCCTACTCCTGTTATTCTATACCTGAGTTTTGTTAGCACTGAATTGCTTGCAAATGGGCTGTTTGCCTCTTCCTATTTTCCCCCACCACGGCCCTGCAAGGTAGGTTGGGCGGAGACACACTGAATGGTTTGAACTCCGAGGGAGCTTTGATGGCTAAGGGGGGCGGGGAATGCAAGAATCTGAGTTTCCCTGCTCTTAATCTTAACTACTTTTAAGTACTATACATGCTGGTTCCCTCTAAGTTTACAAGTGTTGCATGAATTTTGGGAGAAAACACAATGGGATCGAGAAAATTAAAACTTCTGATAAGATAGCTCTGTTGGGTACCTTAGGGAACTTTGAATATTATGAAATCTGGAACAAAATGCATTAATGGTTGGAAATGAGGAAAGGGAGTCGGAACAGAATATTTTGAGGATTGTAAAATTGGAACTGGATAATACATAGATAAATATATAAAGGAGGATAAGGGATATGTTAATAAGATCAAAGTAGCTATGTACGATAAGTAGAAACTGTATTTGTTGTTATGTTAAAATATGTATGGAAATGACAAAGCCAGAGAGGTCGCGTTATGTCCAATGTTTTAATGCATATTCAATAAAAAAAAAATTAAAGGGAACTTTGAGAAAACATAGTGGTAGGAAAAATGTTTAGAAGGTTAAGTAGCTCTTCTGTAACGTTGCAAACTGTTAGTAATTTCCATTTCCTGCTAAAATTCCCTGTTGTTCACCCCAGCTAGCAGCTCTTCAATGTAATATGTATCTACTGCCAGCAGTAGGGGCTAAACTTTTCTGTAGCTTCAAGAAACAATTACTTTCGGCTTGCAACAAAAGGAGCAACGGGTGTGTATCTTAACTCTTTCACTAGGGCTTTAGCAAATGTAAAAAGAACGCAGGTTTTATGGAACAAAAGTTGTGTTGAAGTTTGCATTGCTAGAATTGTATTTGCACAACAAGGGAAAAGTGAGGAGATTCCTATTGATGAGGTGGTGATCAGGAAAATATTAGAATGTGCAAAAATGAATAGATTAACACTAATAACTAAAGAGAAAGAGTAAACTGAATATTATATGATATGGGAAGTATTTCATCAATGGTTAGAGGGGGAAAAGAGAAATTGGAAATAAGGGAAGACTAAAGAAGAGTAGAAAATATGTTAAGATAGAGGCATAAACAAGATGATAATTGTTAGCATTATGATGAGGAAGAGAATTATGTTTAACGTTATTATTGTATTTTTATTAGAAGATATGTTAGGAGGAAAACGAATAGGTTAATAATGTTCATTTAATATACAATTTTAAGATCAGAACATTAACATTAACGTGAATGATGTTGTTAATGCTGAAAGCTGTTGCACAGAGATATTTTACCCTGACGAGAGACTGTTTAAGATGAAATGTTTGTATGTGGGGAAAAAAACCCTTTAAAAAAAAGAATTGCTTTCCTGCAATTCAACAACAACCAGAATATTGTTTTGTCTCTCACCTTGTTTGTGGTGTAGCTGTCCCAAATGATCAGTTTTCCATCTTGTGATGCACTAACCAGAAGCCTAGAAGGGCAGACAAGGGAGAATAAATGGTGTTGTTGTTGTTGTTTTGGCTAATCATACAGTGAACTGGTCCAGACTGGCCTCGATCAATTGACTGAATCCTTCACAAGAGGTTCTCATCAAACCACGTTACCTTTGCTTAAGCTTAACCCAGGAACTGTATCAATGGCTTCGGTGCCGTTTAAATCCTGAAGTTTGGAGTGCCGTAATCTGCGCACATCTTTGCTAAGTGGCCATTTAACCATCCAAACTCAGCCATAGGAAACACTTGTGCGTGTCAACTCACAAAGCACCCCTGGCCTGCTCTTGAGTTGCCATAGGCAAAGGGGATGGGAAACTGACGAAGCAGCCACAAACCGAAGCACATTCCAGGCATAACTTTCTCAAGGCTGTCTCCCAGGTTACCCAAGCAGCTGGAGGGGGAGTGATCTCTACAGCCCGGCCCTTGGAGAATGTGATTTATGGCACACCCTGGGGGGAGGAGGGAAATAGGGTCATAATTGGGCTGTAAATTACGTGGGGTGAGAGCTGGCTTCACATGTTGCTCCTAATAAATAACTGGATTTCTTTTGAAGCTTGGCGCTCATGATTTAATTAGGCATCCGAATTGCGACCACAATTGAAACTGAACTTCCATTTACTAAGCAGAGTGGCTGCTGAGTCACACCCAATTTTACAACTTTTTTTGCCATGGTCGTTAAGTGACTCACAAGGGTCATTGAGTAAAGTGGGCGGCCATTATGTAAATCTGCCTCCCACCCCCACTGACTTTGCTGGTTGGAAGCTGGAAGGGGAGGTCTGGAGCGGCAATCATGTGACCTCGTGACGTGCTATCATCGTAAATCCATGCCTGAATTTTGATCATGTGACTGCAGAGGCATTACAGTGGTTGTGAGTGACTTTTTCCAGTGCTGTTGTAACCTTGAACGGTCACTAAAATGAACAGTTGTAATGTGAGGAGTACCTATATATTATACAATAATGAACCCAGGAAAGTGCGTTGAAAGTAACTGGGGTGGATCTGTTGATATTTCCACCTTGGGATCTTTTCTACGAGATTACAAAGATCCGGGAATCTGTAAAGACCTTAACATTGATTATCTAGATTCCTTTCAGTCTGGATTCAAGCCTGGCTATAGCACGGAAACTGCTTTGGTCGCGCTGATCGATGATCTCTGGAGAGCCAGGGACAGGGG